GTGTAAAGAACTTCTCATGGACACATATACATGTGCAGAAATAGACCTGAAGTGTGTGCACCAAAACTCTGGCCGGGCTAGTAGAAAGATGAGTTCTCCTTTCCTTCTACCTGTGTGTCATCATTCCTAATACTTCTACAGTGGATAGATAGCATTCATGTTCAAGCCAGAGTACAAGGGTGATGCTGTGTAGCAAAATGTCATTTCTGAGCCACGTTAACCCCTGCAGGGACATGGTGAGAATCTGGAGTTGGCACCGTGGGCTCTGCCTCTCAGACTAGGGGAGACACAGTTTGGAAATCAATGATTCTAGCCTTCCAGGGCCAAAGGAGGAAACTGTTTCAGAGCAGAGCAGAGAGTTGGTGGGGCTGTCCACTCAGGGGTAGCACTTATAAGTGGGGGGGTGGGGGGGCGCAGAACCTGTTCCCAGCTCTTGCCCTCGGGTGCCCCTGTCAGAGCACATCCTGTTGCAGGTCCCCAGGGGCCCTTCACCTGCCTCAGGCGATGGCTCCAGGTCAACCACTCCGTTTTAATGTCCTTTGTGCCTTTGTGTGGGGTCTTTCATTGTGTGTGAGGGGAAGGGGAAGGGATGATGAGGTGGGGGATCTAGTCTTAAAGCTGATTTTTAAAAAAATCTTCTTATTAAATTATAGTTGACTTACAACATTGTGTTAATTTCTGCTGTGCAGCAAAGTGATCCAGTTACATATACACATACACACAGATTCTTTTTTATGTTCTTTTCCACTATGGTTTGTCACAGGATATTGAGTATAGCTCCCTGTGCTATAGAGTAAAGCCTTGTTGTTTATCCATTCTATGTATAATAGTTTGCATCTGCTAACCCCAAAGTCCCACTCCATCTTTGGCCCACCTCACCCCCTTGGCAACCACAGGTCTGTTCTCTATGTCTGTGTGTCTGTTTCTGTTTCGGAGATAAAGTTCATTTGTGTCACATTTTAGATTCCACACAAGTGACATGGTGTTTCTATTTCTTTATCTGACTTACTTCACTTAGTATCGCAATCTCTGCTGCTGCTGCTGCTGCTGCTAAGTTGCTTCAGTCATGTCCGACTCTGTGCAACCCCATAGATGACAGCCCACCAGGCTCCGCCATCCCTGGGATTCTCCAGGCAAGAACACTGGAGTGGGTTGCCATTTCCTTCTCCAGTGCGTGAAAGTGAGAAGTGAAAGTGAAGTCGCTCAGTCGTGTCCGACTCTCCGCAACCCCATGGACTGCAGCCTACTAGGCTCCTCCATCCATGGGATTTTCCAGGCAAGAGTACTGGAGTGGGGTGCCATTGCCTTCTCAATAGCAGTCTCTAGATCCATGTAAATGGCATTATTTCATTCTGGGTTTCTTTTTTGGCTGAGCAGTATTATATATACGTACCGCATCTCTATCCATTCATCTGTTGCTGGACATTGAAGTTGCTTCCATGCCTGGCTATTGTGAACAGTGCTGCTGTGAACATAAGGGTGCATGGACCTTTTTGAATCAGAACTTTCTCCAGATAAATGCCCACCAGTGTGATTGCTGGATCGTATGGCAACTCTACTTTTAGTTTTCTGAGGAACTGCCATACTGTTTTCCACAGTGGCTGCACCAACTTACATTCCCACCAACAGCTTAGGAGGGTTCCCCTCTCTCCATGCCTTCTCCAGCATTTGTTATTTGCAGACTTTTAAAAAATATGTTTATTTTTAATTGGAGGAGAATTGCTTTAGAATGTTGTGTTGGTTTCTGCCATACAGCAACATGAGTCAGCCATAGGTGTACATATGTCCCCGCCCTCTTGAACCTCCCTCCCACCTCCACCCCATCCCACCTGTCTAGGTTGTCACCGAGCACCTGGTTTGAATTTGCAGACTTTTAAATGATAGCCATTCTGACTGGTGTGAGGTGATACCTTGCTGTAGTTTTGATTTGCATTTCAATAGTAATTAGCGACTTTGAGCGTATTTTCATGTGTCTTTTGGCCATTTGTATGTCTTCTTTGGAAAGATGTCTGATTAGGTCTTCTGCCCATTTTTAAGTTGGGTTATTTGTGGGGTTTTCTGTTCTTGTTGAGTTCTATGAACTGTTTGCATATTTTGGAAATTAAGCCCTGGTCGGTTGCATCATTTGCAAATACTTTCTCCCATTCTGTAGGTGTCTTTTCATCTTGTTTATGGTTTTCTCTGCTGTGCAAAATTAAAGCTGGTGTTTTAAAGTCGGGCTTTCCTGGTGGCTCAGGTGGTAAATCCACTCCTCTCCTCTGTTACTGTTTTCCCTTCTACTTCTCCCTCTCTAATCCAAAATAAGTTAATAACTATTTATGCTGATGGTGATAATAATAATTATTATTATTGCCATTGTAAAGTGAAGTCGCTCAGTCATGTCCGACTCTTTGCGATCCTGTGGACTGTGCCCATGGAATTTTCCAGGCAAGAGTACTGGAGTGGGTTGCCATTTCCTTCTCCAGGGGAACTTCCCAACCCAGGGATCGAACCCCAGTCTCCCACATTGTAGGCAGATGCTTTACCATCTGAGCCACTAGGGAAGTCTCTGTATTGCCATTATAGTCCTCCTAAAGAGGTTGCAGAGTTACCTAGGAACACAGGAGGAGAGGCAGGGTATTAATATAATGATAAAGCTTTTAGGGAAAAACTCAGCATCTTTTTACCAAGAGAACCAATGAATACGGAATTTAACTCCAGCCAAGGTAGTCCAATGATCATAGAATTCTGAAATAAGATTCCAAGGTACTAACTATAATGATAAAGATCACAATTCTAGATCATTACACAGTGTGATTCATGATTTAAGTCCACAGTGGAACTTACAAGGAAGCCTAAGAGCTAGGCTGGAATTCACAAGTGTATCCTCTGGGACAGAACAGTGTGGCGCCTTGGACTGCTGGGAAATCTGCAGGGACAAGACTCCAAGGCACAGCCCCTAGGAGAGGACAGGGGGCTCTCTTAGGTTCTGAACAAGGTTCAAACTTGCAGTCCAGGGTCAGATCCAGGGTGAAGTAGAGAGGTAGGGGGTCATCAATCTTGCCCCGCCCCGCCCCTGCCAACTCACCCTCAGGAAGTCTGACAGAACTTCCCAGGAGCCCAGGAAGGACTCTGGTCACAGAGCAAAGTGGGTCCTGGTGGGTAACCCTCCACAAGCAGGTTATTTCCTCAAGTGACAAAAAGCTTTCTGGGAGACAATTTGTATGAAGGGTCAAACTGAGGCCTTAGGGTGTTATCAGGATGCTAAGTATTTTGACCTTCATCACTGGCTCATGAAAGCACAAAAAATAATGGGTCCTCCCCAGCACGTTAGCTCACCCCAATCCTTTACGTAAGGAGACAGTTCTGGCAACACTCAGACAGTTGGAACACCAGAAAATGCTAAGGGTGAGAGGTGGAGAGAGTCCTGGGTGAGCCACAGCCGTGCCACCAGAGAACCACAGTAAATCCCCATCCTCCTCAAAATACCCTTGGACCCTTGCCCGTCCCCAGGCGTGGCAGAAATGACCACACGTCAGCACCCGTTGGGGGTTGTCAAACCCAGACTGGGGACTGTGAGATCCTGGTGGTTGCAGCTGAGCGGGGAGAGACAACAGATTGCAGGGCCCCACCCCAGAGCTTCTGCATCTGAAGTTCCTGGGCAGGGCCCCAGTTTTGCATTTCTAACAAATTCCCAGGTGCTATTGACGCTGCTGTCCCAGGGACCCTATGTTGAGAACTATCAAGAATAGTACCTACTATTCACCAGAACAGAATGCTCTAGCACACGTATTCACTCAGAAGTGGGGAGGGGATGGAGAAAGGGAAAGTAGCTTTAATAGTTTTTTAAAGGTGTTTATTAGTTCGTGAGACTTTACTTGAGAAAAAAATCTTAATGCCAAAATACCCCACGTTTTAAAACCTGCTTTTGAAACGTATTCATATACTAAAGGTTACACATATGAAAAGGAAATCTACATGCCTTTTAAAATGAATCATTTTCATGAAAGACACTTGGCTCAGAGGACCTACTGATTTTACCATTTCAGCACTTTACTGGGTGTTTCGTGGGGCTTGCGGGAAGTGGGTAAAAAGATAAGTCACATAAAACTCTGTATGCCGCCATGACAAGTGGTAGTGAGGCTGAAGGGGAAGTGATGTTGTTTCAGGGGAGGGCAATGTGGTGCGGGGTGAAACAACATGGGGCGAGGGCATTAGGGTCAGTAATTTGGTTTCCATCTCCCACCTCTCCCAGACAGGTAAGGGAGACAGAGTTAGCCCTTCTCTAACTTTTGGAGATTCACTTTCTCATGTCTCAGTGGCTCACCTCTAATTCTTGGATTCCTTTTCCGAATCAAATAAAGAAAAGGCACATACGCATCTCTGGAGGAAAATGTCTGTATTAAAAGCCAAAAAAACACAGAGTACAAGAAGAAACGCCCATCTGGCCACGTCACTGGATAGATCGACTTGGAAAAAGGTTCATAAAGTTCATTTTCAGCGGTAACAATATATCGGTGTTAAATCATTCCCGTGCCCCCCTTTTAAATAAATTAAAAAACAACAAATTTCAAATACTATGTTCAGATACAAAGAGCTTCTCTGACTACAGCAATAGCCATTTGATTTTTTTTTTACTAAAACTTTCATTTAAAACAGTTATTAAATATATAAAACAAATACACAGGATTTGGTCGTTTTCTGCCATGAATATAGGGCACGTGGGTGCGGGGAGGGAGGAGGGCAGGGTGCGCAAAAAAGGGGAAGGGGCCCCATTTCCCTCTTCTCCGTCTTCCAAGCTGCGGGTCCCACCCTGCAGGGCGAAGGCTTGCATTTGCTTTTCGGAGCCCGAAGCGGGGCACAAACCTGGCTTTTCCCACACGCTGGGGCCTCTTCGGCGGCCCCCTCCCCAGAAGAAGAACTAACGGTCACTACAGCACGAAGCACACCGGCCGAGTCTCCCGGCGGGAAAGGCACCGAGAGCGCGGACACAGGACGGACACGGGAAGGAGCGGGGCGGGTCACTTGGTCGCCGTCCCCGAGGTGACAGCCGCGGCGGCGGCCGCGGCAGCTGCAGCGGCGGCGGCGGCGGGGGCGGCGGCGGCGGCGCTGGCGGTGGTCCGGCGCTGCTCCATGCCGTTGGGCAGGAAGCCGGCGATGATGGGCACCGGCCAGATGAGGGCGGCCACGCTCCACACGACGATGACCAGGGTCATGAAGCAGGCCACCAGAGTGGACTCGATGGGCTTGCGGTTCAGCCGCCAGCCCGGCTCGCCCTGCAGCTCCTCCAGGCTGAAGTCCAGGCAGCAGAAATGCAGCGGCTCGCCCTGCAGCCACAGCGGCCCGGGGGGCTCGGCCGCGGGGTAGGCGGGCAGAGCGGTGGGCGCCCCGGCGGTGGCGCCGGTGGGCCGGAGGCGGCCCGGGCGGCGGCCGNTCTACTGGGCCGGGCGCTCGAGGGGAGCAGGAATCCCCGACTCGGCTCCGCCTCCCGCGCGCCCCGCCCCGTCGCGCCCCGCCCACCGCCCGCGCGCAGCTCGGAGACTCCGGGGAGGGCGGGGTTGCACGCGCCGCGGCGGGGGCGGGGGCGTGGCCGGGGGCGTGGCCGGGGGCCGAGACGGGTGCAGGCCGCGTGCGGGGGTGGGGCTCCGAGGCTTGCGCGCGGGCGCGGCCGCGGCGTCTGTGGAGAACGTCCGATAGTCGTGGTGGGGGTGGGCAGGGCCGGCGGATTTTGCGGACGCGCCCTAGCGGCCCGACCACACCGCCGGAGTCCAGGTCCAAGCGGAGAAGGCACTCAGAGAATTGCGTTCCTTTGAGGGAGGCTCGAGAGCCCGGCGACCAGGTCACGCCTGAGGAGGCCGTGTGGTGTCTCACCTTAGTGCTCTCCGGACCCCGCTCCTTTCAAGGAGGTAAAACTGAGGCGTCCCCCGGTCACCGCAGGAGCCAGAACCAGAACTCCTGGCCACCGTGTCTCCTCAAGTCTGGAGAGTTCGGCTGGTTTTTAATGTGCCTCCAACACAATAGATCCACTTGGTATTCTCACAGCAGGCAGACCCCAAGGAAAATTCCAAGAACTCTGTGGAGTTGAGGTGCAGGAATTCTGGTGGGAATGTGAGCCCCGTAGCTGTTCTGGGGTTCCCAGGAAAGAAGCCCTGTCTGGCAGGTCCGATGAGCACGGTATTTATGAAAGATTCTATGTAGAACGTGTTCAAGGGAAGATTCATCCCCGTTAGGGCATTAAGTGGAGGAAAGCCTATCAAGAATAACGTGCCAAGATTAGATTTATGTGCTTAAAAAATAAAACCCACTTTTCTAGCAATTTGGCCTTTTACACTTGTTAAGAAAAATTCCCTGATGCCCCTTCAAGAGAATAACCCTGTGGTTTGAAGCCAGTGTGCCCCTGGGGCACTGGCTATTCCTGAGTCTGAGAGGAAAGGAGTGTGGAGAGCAGAAACAGGCCCTCAGCGAAATGACACTGGCTCTAAACCAGCTTCCTTTCCTAAAAAGAACATTGCTAGACTTGGTGGCTGATTACATGTCTGGCAGATTTATCCATTGTATCTAACAGTGAGTCAAACCAGGTTGAGGAAGATGTAAAAACAGCTCCAAAATATAGGTCCCAAACCTACCTGGCTTCTTTCTAGTGGGGCAAGCTATTATTCTAACTTGGCCTTGGCTTCCCCATATGAACACTGGGGTCAGTGGTACCTGCCTTGCAGGGTTGGTGTGATCAGTGCGCTCACCCCAGTGTCTGTCCATCCATCCACAAAGGTGCTTGTGTGTGGCTGAAGAGATGTAGCTCCTATCAGTTCAGAACAGGCTAGCTGGAATGATCTTTGGTATCTACAGAAATGATTAATATCCCCCAAGGAGCCGGGATTCCCCTTTTGTTTAAACCTTCATCACTTTTCTGCTGGGAAGCAAGCTATCAGAGAAGACAATGTGAACTTTCGTGCTTTTATTAAAAATTAGTTTTCCTTTTAACCTTGCATGTCAGGTACAGAATCTTCTGTCTGATCTGGCAGAGCTGTTTTAATCTGAGCCATGTGGCTGGTGAACAGCCTCAGAACAGGGGCCTCAGGTGATCCTGAAGGCTGAGAGTCACCCAGTTTTCAATGGGTGGGTTTTAAGTCCACTGTCTTTGGCAGCGAGGGATGCTCTCTAGGGTTTGACCAAGAGGTAGGAGCTCTCTGGCTTTGTCTGAGCAGGGAGGCAGCAGCAGAGGGAGATGACAAAGAACCAGTTGTGGAGCCAAACAGTTAAGTGCAAAGCTGTGCCACCAGTGCATCCTGGGAAGCCGAATTCTGCCCACTTTCCATCTTATGCTATGGACTCCAACACAGTGCCCTCATTCAAAGGGACAGCCATACAGTCCTAGAATGGTTTGCTTTCTTTGGGGGCAATAGGGATTTGGGAAGATAAGATAGAATTATTTTCAGTTTTGTTTACTGGTGTGTTACCAGAAACAGAAGAAGCACTGAACACAGGGGCGAGAGGGTCTGTGGTGGTTTTTTTTTTTTTTTTTCTTTTTCTTTCTGACGATTTATGTTTTGCTGTTTTTAGTCAGTGTTTGTTGATTGGACAAATTTGCTAATAGCTAATTAGCTATTGCTGTTTGCTAATAGCTCTGACAAGCCACCATTTATTGAGTACTTTCCACATGCCAGGTTTTACACATCATCTCTACTCTTTTCACCAATCCCATAGTGATACCTATTTTACAGTGAAAAAACTAAGGCTCAGAGAGGGTGAGTAATTTACCTGAGGCCTCACAGAAGCTGGTGACAAAGCCAGGATGTCAGTCTGGTCTTCATTGATTCAGAGTTTGTGCTTTTTAAAAAACTGGTTGTGTTTTGTCTTACGGAGGTTGGGTTCCAAAGTCTGTGCATAAGTTAAATGACTATATGACATAATTTTCTTTTATCTTGAGAAAAATTTTTGGTTGAGTTTCTTTTTATTTTATTCATAAAAAAAATTTTAAACTTTTTTTTGACTGTGCCCCATGCCATGTGGAATCTTAGTTCCCTAATCAGGGATCAGACCTGAGCTTCCACCCCCTGTGGTGGAAGCACAGAGTCTTAACCACTGGACTTCCAGAGAAGTCCCAAGTTTCTTTTTAAAGATATGCATATATTATAAACATAACAGCATTAGACAAAGATTGGAAAACAGTGGAGGAAACTACTAGAAACCCGGCTACCTGATTCTCTACTTCTCTGCATCATTATTCTCTTCTGCAGTCTTTATAGTCTCTAAATGTACCACTAACACTCTGGGTAAAAAAGGAAATTAAAATCCCACTGTGTTTTGCAACCATTATCACTTTGTGCTCTTCCCTTCAGCCCAGTGGGGATCTGGGGGGTCTACCCAGAAGCAAAGGGCATTCAACACACAGTTGCTGACTGAGTTAGCCTCCTGGTTAAGAACTCTGCCTGAGCCACAGGCAGAGGCCTAACGGTTAATTGTGGCTTCTGGTCCCTTCTCTGATCCATCTCCTTACCAGTTTCCCTTCTCCTCGCTGGCTCTGTTCCAGGTATCCTGGCTTCCTTGCTAGAACACAGCAAGCACATCTAGACTTAGAGCCTTTGCCCAAGTTGTTTCCCCTGCCTGGGATGTTGTTCTTTCTGGCAGCCGTCTTTCTAGTTCCCTCCCTTCCTTCATATCTCTGCTGAGATATCAGATTCCCCAGAGGGGCCTTGCCGGACCATTTCTGTAAGACATCACCCATTACCGGCATCCCCATCCCTCTCCATCCTCTTGTGCAGTGTTCCTTGTCTTCCTGGTACTTACCGTCAGCTGACACACTGGGTGTGTTCTTTGTTTAATGTCTCCCTTCTTTGGAATGCCTGATCCCCCAAAGCAAGACTTTCATCTGTTTTGTTCAATGAAACAATGAGTCGCACATAGTAGAGGTTCAGTGACTAGCTGACGAATGAGTGAGTAAATTCAGTAGACCAGGCTGACCCAGCGGGCAGGATGTGGGCAGGAGTTAGGGACTTGAGATGGACAGAGCCATACCAGTTCCACAGCAACAAGACTCACACAGCCGTTCCCAGCTTGCAGGCCAAGGAGCCACCCCCTGGCCCTGCCCTGCCCTGCCCGGAACCGGCAGAGGAGCTAGGTCTCGTGGGGAACCACATGGCCAGGCAGAGTTTGACCTGGAAGACTGCACTAAACTCACAAACCTAGCAGTACTTAGGGGTGTGAGCCAGGGCAAGCTGAGTGACTGGGAGGAACATCCCAGATGAGCCCAGACTTCCCTTCTGTCTAAGGAAGAAAGGCAAATGACACTCCTTCCTAAGGAAGAAAGGCAAATGACACTCCTTCCATCTCCTCAAGTCTTGTCATTTTTATCAAACAGAGATTTGATAAATCTCTGTTTTATCTATAAAACACAAATAGCAAGTTTTTTCTACATGGACTGTATTGTTAGAAAACAACCATGAGGATTTCAAAGAAAATAATTAGTAATGATGCCCAGTTACTTCATTTTTTTCATTTCCTGTGTCCCTCCCAGGTGTCAGCTAATTTTTCCTTAGTCTGCCTATTGAAGTTATACTTAACAAAAAGATCTCTCTGGGTTATTTGAATTCCTTTCATCTAAGGACCTCAGAGTGCCACAGGTACAGTAATTCCTTAGTTCTCTCTTATTACGTGGGTGGAATGAAGAGGATATTATTACCACATGCTGTAGCCTGAGAAGCAAGAACCACAAAAGAATCATAAAAATAGGACAGAGGAAAGAGGGGCTTAAAATGAGGGTTCAGCTACGTCAGAATCACTGGTGAAGGTTGTGGTAGTTGGCTTGGTGTGTGTGTTGGCAGAGGTGGAGGGGTGGGGGGTGGCACTAGGAACTGGGGGAGGAATTCTTTTCATGCCTGTATTCCCTGAGATATCCCATTCCTCAGATGGGAAACTTGACAGATCACAGAACTGCTTCTGAAGAGCTGGGCCTTTGTACCAGTCACTGGGGGAGGGCTGGGAGCCCCCAGTGTTGGGCGATTAGACCAGTCCTGTGTCCTCTGCTTCCAGACTGCTTTGTGACATCCCTGAGTGGCTCAGCCAGACCTCCAGGATGTGGATCTTTATCCTTCCCGACCACTGTGGTCAGAAGAGAGATTTCCCTCCACTCACTTCTGGCAGCAATTATAGCCCACACAATTCATTTGGCAATTAATCGTGGGCTGCCTTGGGACGAGGCTGCTGTTGCCAGCTCAAGCTGTTACTAAGACAGTTCTGTCTGGTGTGTTCGTCGTTTGCTTGTGGATACCCTGTGCGCGTGGTGGGCAGGGCCACTGCTGGTATTTCTTTTCTATTCAGAGACCCAAACATCATGCTGGGCTTCTGGTAAGATTTCAGCAAAGACTTTTTGAGGAAATAAGAAGCTGTTGCTGTTACAGGGAGATGGAGAGTGTCTAAGAGAGAACTGGGAGGACACAAATGGTTGCCAAGGTGAAAGAACTGGAAGGGGAGAGAAATTCTGCCAAGTGAGCCCCTCTTCTGGGCTTGACCTGTCATTGGTACCTTCCTCAGATGATAAATGTCCCTTGACAGACACTCAGTGTGCTCCAGGCACTGTGTCGAGATATTCATCCCTACCATATGCTCCTGAGGAAGAGATTACTGTGCTCGTTTTGTTGTTCCTGTTCAGTCGCTCAGATGTGTCTGACTCTTTGTGATCTCATGGACTGCAGCACACCAGGCTTCCCTGTCCTTCACTATCTCTCAGAGTTTGTTCAAACTCAGGTGCATTGAGTCGGTGATGCCATCCAACCATCTCTTCCCCCATCTCCCCCTTCTGCTCCTGCCCTCAGTCTTTCCCTGTGGCCATTGCACATAGGAGGTAAACTGAGGCTCGGGTGGTTAAGTCACTTGTACGAAACCAAGATTCAAACCTTGTCTAACAACTGTATTCTTAATCACAGCCCTGCTAAATGGCCTCCACTGTCACTGACAACCTTGCAAGCTGGAAGTTACTGTCCTGTTTTAATGACGAAGAAGCAGATGCAGGATGTCTGGGCAGCTGGCAAAAGATGGGCCATCTGCATCTCTTTAATGTTGCAATTATATCTAGGCTGCACTTAGCCCCAGTTTGTATATTCCACAAATTTGAAAATTCTGGATGTTTTCCCAATCCAGTGCATCCTTATGGATGGAGCCCTGGATTCCCCATACCCATTGCTCTGCCTCCAGGGTTACCAGGGCATGTGGTACAAAGTAGGTACTCAGTAAGTGCTGGGACAGCTGGGTGGACATACAGCCTGGAGCTCCCAAGATATCTGAGAGCCTTCAGGTTTGACATTGATGGTTTCTAAGATAATATATTCACAAGCTACTTGGCGAAGTATTCAAGAGGTATTGATTAAACCCCACTGATGGGGACAGCAGACTAGTTTCTGTGAAAAGAAAAAGGAACTGTCAGTAAGCACTTATTTCCAGGGTGAGCATCTGTCAGACAAACTGACTGAAACTACCTTTAAAAAAATTTTTTTTGAAGTATTCTGGTGATGTGCATTTCTAAAACTTTGGGGCTACTTACAGTAATTTCTTTTGAAAAGACAACCCTTAAGGCAAATGATATTTTGTGGTTCTTGTATCCACCTTCTAAGAAGTTTAAATGTCATTTAGCATTTCGAATGGTGAGTTCTGAGGGTTTCAGTATGGCAAACGAGGGAGACAGAGCTGGGTCATCAGAGCCGAGGCAGCTGAATGTTCCCCATCAACCAGCATCATAAAAATTTACTTCATGCTGCTTCTAAATAGCACCAAACACTCCCTTCAAGTGAAATCGTTGGCATTCCATTTCCAGAGGTAGGGAGGAGACGGAGGAAGCCAGACCCCATTTAGAGAGAGCCAGGAACATTGGAACATATTTGTCAAGGTCCCTCATGCCTTCTAACCGCCCCCTCTTCCTGCTGGATCTGCTGGACCACATGCTTGGGGACATCTGCCACTCGCCTAGGCATGCCCTGTCACTCAGGTGTTCTGCCTGGTATTCCCTTCATGTTGAGGTGGCCTCTAGGTCTACCCATTCTTTTTCTACTAAAGTCCCCAGATTTGGGGACTGTAAACATGGCCTTCAGAGCTAGGCAGACCTGGGCTGGATGCACTACTTCACTGTGTCTCAGTTTTCTTGTCAGTTAAATGGGCCTAAGAGCCACTTTCTTCTAAGGATTAGATGAGATTCTTATTGCAAAACCGCATTCAGTGAGTGTAGCTAGCACTTTGGGTTCCAGAAACATGAGCACACTGCTCCTCCTCTGTCCTTACACTGCTTTGGAAGTGGGTGTATTTGCACCTGCAGGGATTCGTCATTGTATGTGGTAAATAAAGAGGGAAGGATAGCTCCTGGCTTAAAAGAAGCTATAATATATTCCTGTCTACACAGAGCCATCCCTCGTTATCGAGCACACTTGGATTCCAGTGGCCATGAGAGTTGAAAGGGAGCAAAGAGGCCACCCAGTCCGAGCTCCTTATTTTATAAGTGGGGAAACCGAAGCCCAGAGATGGATGCAAGCCTCATTAAAGGTCACAGTCTGGTTGACAGCAGAACCAGGGCTGGAAGCCAAGATCCTTGGCCAACAGGCCATCAAACGTGGCACCTCTCTTAAGTACAGTCTGTGGCAGTGCTTTTACTGCTGCACTTTAAAAATGAGGTCCGGTTGCAAAGTGAGAGCAGAGAGCCTTTCTAATTTACTTAAGAGAAGAAGAGGAAAATGATGGGCTTTATAATTGCCGGAATCACACTTCTCACTCTATTTACAGGATGGAGGATTGATTGCATGGGCTGAAAGTGTCAGCACACTTGGCAAGCTTCCATCCTGATGCAATTAAACCTCGTTCCTTCTGGCTCTGCTGAGAACCTGGTTCAGGCCCTCGGAGACCTGGATGTGAGCTGGAAGCACAGGCTGAGCCAGCCCCACTTTCTAGTCCTGAAGGAGTCTATGGGAATAGGCAGGAACTTGGAGCCCACTGTCCAAGTGAAGCCACTGGGGCCATCAAGTCATGCTTCTTCCTGGTACTTGGGCTGTTGGCCAAACTCCTACAGTCCCTCAGATGGAATCAGAATCCCTGCAGAATACCTGCTTGAAGCTGTGTCCCAGGACCACTCGGAGCTGGCTGCACCCTGTCTTCACCACTCAGGCCTGCTTACTCAATGGCAGTCTCCATCTTGACTGTGCCTGGGTTTGCTTTGCTGTGTGCACTGTGGAGATGTGAGCTTTGAGCTCCTCCTTGAAGAACTCTGTGCTACCCTGCAACTGGGTCTGTGGCCCCAGCTCTGTCTACCCTATCCCAGCAAAATTCACCCTCTCTGGCTGACCATTGATCATGCAATGAAGCACATGGGTGGGAGCAGTCAGACTTCTCCTAAAGCCAAATCCTCATGGAAATCTATTGAGTAGAGCTCAGAGATTTTCTGCACTGCCCACTTAAAATTCACTTTTTTCAGTGACAGTAATGGAAAGAAAACACATGTGACCTCCCCTAGGCAGACAGTCTCACAATGTCCCACACACCACGAGCACCCAACTGTCTCCCTGTCCCAGAGACTGACACCTGCAATCTCCCAGAAGGGACCCATTAGGGTTATGGCTTGTGTGCATGTGTGCTGAGTTGTGTCCGACTCTTTGTGGCCCCATGCACCATAGCCTTCCAGGCTTCTCTGTCCATGGGATTTCCCAGGCAAAAATACTGGAGTGGGTTGCCATGCCCTCTTCTAGGGCATCTTCCCGACCC